ATAACATGCACAGTAATCAACTTCTGTAAATGGCAGAGTAAATTTTTTCTCTTATCATAAATTCGGTAGGAGATGTTGCACACTGCAGAGGAATGAACAAGGTGGTCCCTCTAGTGGCCTAGAAGTGAAACACAAGCCACCGAGGCCTAACATTCTTAAGGATAAAGACAGATCTAGTAGTAACAGCAACTATTTCCAAGCTGTGTGTCCTAGAGAAAGAAAAGTTTCACATACAGAGGTTAGTGTGACCCCTCCATATCAGAGAAATCAACCTCAAGAGTAGGATGTGAAACATCATGTAGTGAGAACTGAGTAACTGAACACGTACACACTCCACATGTCACGTGTACTGCTGTTTCACATTTACTAGGTGCTAAAAAAATCTCAGCGTTGGACTAAATACCTAAAAGTTAGAAATGAAACTGTCAACTCCTTTCTAACATCTTACTGTGATAAATACATGTTTTGATGATAACAATTTTTAAATTGCCCAAAGCTATAGGTATATGATGGAACACAAAATACCATAGACTACTAAACTTCAATCATCTTGCATATCTGACTTCTCTGTGATAAGCCAGAACTGGTTCGATAAATTAAAAATTACCACATTCTTTAGATATACATATTAATTATTCTATGATACTTTTCATTCTTCTTATATTTCAAGAAAACCAAAAATTATAATTTTAAAATCTGGATTACTATATATAGTTTTTGTCCTATCAATATATCGACTTAAAGAACTTTTCTTAACTCATCATTTTAATAGCTTCTTCCTAATTTCAATTTTGAAAACAATTAACTCTGTTGAAACACTAGCATCCTATATTGTCTATCCAATTCTTGAACTCACACTTGAATTCAAACAAATGAGTTTTAAATACTGTGGTCCATCATTTTAATGGGGTCATCTAGAATAAATTATTTTTGTCATATTTAACATCAGAAAACACTTTTTTATTAAGACCGCTGTAGCTTACTGCACAGCACCTGCTACCTCATGAAGCAATGCCAGGCCTTCAACTTTGTTCCCTAAATTCTGTTTACATTTCTGTATAATCTAAAGCACATTGGAAGTAGCAATATGATGGCCAGTTTATTTACACTTTTGTTCTTCCATGATTATTCATTCAGCAAAATGTTCAAAAAACAATCCCCATAAGAAATCAATGTCAATACTGTTTAGGCAGTTCGTGATACCTGGTCCTCAGGTACCACCCAGGGACCTATCTTGCCTTCCCTCCTCAACAGATACAGAGTTCCTAGAAGTATGATCTAGAATCCTAGCCTAGTTCCTCTCTGCTCATGGACTCATTATCAACATTGGTATGAAAATCCAATAATTTCTATTCCAAAACTGGAGGAATCATGTCACAGATATGCTGTGCTAACGAACGCTCAAGAATCTCATACCATTAATATTCCAGATCTCTTGTTTGTGAGGCAGGATTGACTATTCTATACATTATCAAAATACTCTCTTCTTAGATACCTTCATGCTGGCTCTTCTCATGACCTAACCCTCCACTGACCTCTTGAGGAAGTCTTTCCTGATTGTTCTGCTCAAAGAACCTCCCATACAACACTGTCAGTCACCAGGGTTTATTTTCATCAAAATATGCATTACTTCCTCATAGCTTCTGGTTTCACTCTTTTTACTATTTCCATTACGTAGGCTAGAAGGTAGGAGGATGTGTTTGCCTCAAAACCCCCTGTGCTTAGGACACTGAGCAAGTACTCAGTATTTCCTGAAAAATGGAGGAAAATCTGCACATGTCTAGTAGAAGTAGCCTTTTCATTGATATATTTAACTATGTAAAGCAGGACTCACCTTTGCCATGGTACTTAGATTTACTGGAAACATCCTCAGGCAAAGCTAATTCTAATGAAAGAGTCTTAATACCTTAATTAACCCAAGCTTTTGAGCAATTTGGCTAGATAAAAAGGAAATGTTGGGGGGAGGGGAGCAGCAAGATGGCTCAGGAGGTAAGAGTGCTGACCTGATGACCTGGTTTCAATTCCTGGAACATACATCATGGAAGAAGAGATCAACTCCCATAACTTGTTCTCTGTTAATGTGGTCACTAGCCCTTTAAATTTGTTTGTTTGTTTGTTTGTTTGTTTGTTTTGAGACATGGTTTCTCTGTATAGTTCTGGCTGTCCTGGAACTCACTCTGTAGACTAGGCTAGCCTCAAGCTAACAGAGATTCACTTGAATCAGCCTCCAGACTACAGAGATTAAAGGTATGCACCACCACCACCACCCGGCTCCTGAAAATAGTTTTAAATCTTAAATTCTTTATTGTCAGTGTGTCATGTAATAGAACCTGAAGATTCCAATGCTCAGGTCTGGACCAGGGTTATAATCGTCCATGGAAGAGCAGCCCACCTGACCTGGTCTTGCTCATCCTAGGGGACACAGAATAATCTTTCTCAGGATAAGAATTTAAATGAGGCTTCAAATTTCCTGCCATCAGATACCTGAAGGAACTTTTATTCCATTTGTGGGTTTTGTAGTACTGAGGATTAAACTTAGCCTTGCCCAGACTAAGCAGTTACAGCAATATGATATAACCCTCGTTCTTTTACTTCACATTTTGTTTTGAGATGGGATTTCACAAAGCCAGACTGACCTTGAGCTCACTGGATCCTAGACTGGCCTTCACCTTGACATTTTCCTGTCTAAGCCTCTTAGGGGTTGAGCTTATAGACCTGTGTCTCCATGACTGGTGTAAAGGATTCATTCATCAGTGTTTAAGACAGCAGCTTAGTTGACCGGTTCTTTGGAATCATCACCAAATTTCAGTCATGATTTCACAGGGACCCACTGCATGATTATGTCTTCAGAAAACAATACTCTTGAGCTAATCCATCTCTCCTCCTAATAGGATAAATTGTATTGAATGGAGCACCAATGTTGTCGTCTTGTTTCTAGCGTTGTGAAGAAGGAAGACCAGCAAATCATCAGAAAGCAGCATCAAACAGCCCCAGTGCTAAGCAAGCTTCAGCTCTCAGAAAGTGTGTGTCCTTGACTTGGTTGACCTCTCTAAGTCCAAGTAGCTAACCATAGCTGTGCTTAACCCTGGTTTATGAGGATCAAATAAGGTAAGCCATCTACTGTTCAGACACAGACCTGGAACATATAAAAAAAATGTTCATTTTTAAATACTACAGGAAGCCATCTATTTGGGTATTAGGATGTTCTCTGGTAAATCTTAATTAAAACCATCATTCATTACACTACCTGAGATAATTTCCAGTTAGTTTAATATTACCCCAAAGCTACTTCAAACACACTTGGGAATTTCCCTGCATCCGGCGGGAAAAGAATATGATCAAGCATGTTTTATTTCCAAGAAGAAAATCAAGGGTCTTTGTTTTGTTGTTGTTTCCCAACAATGACTTTCAAATATTTCTTTCCTACTTTGTATTTCTCTTGGTTGTTTTTCCACCTCATCTCACTGCTCACTTTTCTAGTATGCTCAACTTCGTAGCTTGTGGATCTGCATTTGCTGGATGAGTCACACGGAAGATTTATCCTCTCCATCTGCCTGATGGTAATTACAGTGCACACCAGTGTCTCTGTCCTCCCAGCACCCCTTTTAATCATCTGTCTACTCCATCTGTATTCTATATTGGGCTGGTTAACATCTCTAAGTCCTTGCGTCCTAATTAAAACAGTATTTGTCCTTTAGTTTATGGGGTGGTAAGATAATTAGTCTATTGTTAAAGGCACGGACCTGGAACACTCAATAAAATACCAACTGTGAGTACGACATAAAATTATCTCTTTAGACATCGCCATATTCTTTTGAAAATCTTAGTTAAAAGCATCATTTCACGCACCACAATAAATAATTTTGGGTTAGTTTAGCACTAGTGTGCCTTCAAAGCCCGACAAGGAGCCTGACCTTCATCTCAATGCTTCGTTCAGTCTAAAGTGACTTCCTCGTAGAAAGCAGACCAAGAGGGTACTAACAAGGAATTGGAGGTTTAAAGATAAGAAGTCAGTTCCATCCTAAATACTGAAATTACAAGTCTCAGGAGCTATCCATGGCTGCTTCCCTCTTGTGACAGGAATAAAGTGATGCTGAGATGCTTGTGGGTGAGAAGGGCTGCTGATGTTGCTGACGGTGCTGACGGTTCTGTCCCAGCAGCTTGGATCTCCCATAGAAGATACCAGTTTTCTTTCCAACAATCCTTTGGCCATAGATAATTTGAGTTTAATTTCTATCACTTGAAATGAAAGTGGTCATACTACATAGAGAACAACCTCTAATTTCAGTAGTTTTTTATTTTAAAAAAAAGATGAGATAAAATCAATAATTGCCTAGCATATTGTCTGGTGTGAAATGCTTGCTTTTAAAAAATGGTACCCATTAATATTCTTTGTTTTGTTTTGCTTTGTTTTGTTTTGTTTTTTTGTTTTTTTGTTTTTCGAGACAGGGTTTCTCTGTGTAGCCCTGCCTGACCTGGAACTCACTCTGGGCCTGGAACTCAGAAATCCGCCTGCCTCTGCCTCCCAAGTGCTGGGATTAAAGGTGTGCGCCACCACCGCCCAGCTACCCATTAATATTCTTCAGACAGTGCAAATATAACTTTTAAGTCAGTTAATTAACAAGCACGGCTTTTGACACCTTCAAATCTTCTTATGATTTCAAATCAATCACTCAGAGGATCCTTTGGTTTGGGATTTTGAAGGAATTGAAGTGAGAGAAATGTCCTGAGTTAATTTTGCTAGAAGTATTGTGTAAATCTAACAGGAGGCTCTTATATAGTTATACAACGCCTGGAGAACAGTGAATCCACAGTTTCTTCATTTCATGGGCTTAAGTATCCAGAGGGAGAGCAGAAAGAGTTCAAAGTAGCTTATCCGATGAAGGTAGGCATGTTTAACATGTGAGCACATGAAATACTGACTCAACTGCATTCCCTGCTACCTTTATGGTGACAATTACATGGAAGAGTAAGAGAAAAATGCAATCAACATGACATACCTGGAGGGATACAACGCTGACAGTGTCAAAGTGGATGTGCCCGTTAGGCTCGGTGACAGCAGGGTTGGCATAGCATGTCACTCCGTTGACTGCAGGTAAAGGTAATGTTTTGGGTTGATGAGTTTTTTCTTTAGGACCGAAGTCATCATTCCTGAAGTGAGTGTGGTCATTCTACATGTGAACAAAGCAAGTGGATTATAAGAGGGAAATAAGATGACTCCTGTAGACAAGAAAATGGTCCAATGTTTTTCATTTATAAAAGAAAAATTTTATATCTACTCTATCTACAATGTAATCTTTTTAAAATACTAACTTTTCTTTTTTAAAGAGATTCTTACGTACTAGATTCTGTTGTTTCTGCTTTCTCTGTGATAGGGGACATCTATGTTGTTATTTAATCAATACAAAGGGAATACAAACTATCCACATCTATTATTTTGGATTAAATTGGGGTTAATAGTTTCTAATTCTTTATGAGTCTGGTATTTTTTCTATACTTATCAATATACTGACTTTTATTCTCTTTGTATTTGCTAGTGTAACAGTCAGACTGTTCACATAATTCACAATTCTTGCCTTTGTCAGAGATCATGGAAAAGCAAGCTATCAAATGTCTTCAGTCAAGCCTGTTTACCTGGCCGTATGTTTTCAGTAGCATCTTAAGTGTTCTTTCAACAAAGAAAAGCATGTAAAATCCACCAAACACAGCAACTGCCTTCTCAACATAATTGTCAATTTTGGGATTAAATCCAAATGCCTAAGGAGAGGGAGACAGGACAAGTCAGATAAAACCAAACAGTTTAATTGACTCCTGGAAAACAATACCATAATTTCATAGTATACAATTTTTCGGACATTGTACATCCACCCTCAGAATAAATACTCTGAAACATGATTAACCAGACCACACACAATGCATTAAAACCTTCCTACTAGCAGTCAACCCATAAAGTAAAACCACCAGACCTCACAGATTCCTCTCTAGAACATCCACAGCAGTATTTGCCTTGAGCCACAAACACACAAGATACTAAATGCACATACATAGAACACAGCATTGTCCTAAAGACATGATACAAATGTATTTCCACTTTAAAAATGTGTGTTGTGACTCTCATTGGTAACTAGCCAATTGCATGGCCGTCCTTAAGTCAATCTCCTTAGATTTTTCAGCTTTTTTCTTTACATTTGAGGGTTTTCAGTAGGTATCCTGGGTTCTTTCTACACAACTACTAATAGAAACTATAACTCTGAGAATGTATCCCTCATTTTTACATGCAGATTAAAAACTAGAAGAAGTTTTTGTTATTTTGTAAAACTTAAAAGAGGGGCACAGTCTAAATACTGTCTTCTCTTAATTTGGATCTTGTCTCTCGAAGAAGACAAGGAGAGATGTGGCCCCTGGGCGTATGGATTTCTCTCGTTTGCCTTTAGGATTTATTCTCTTTCTTTCCCTCTCTTGCTTTCCTTTCACTAGATCTTGGCCATAATAGATAGTAAATAAAGCAGGCATATTGCATATTGATTAAGTAAACAATAAGTGATAATGACTGATAGTCACTATCGAGTAATACACTTTAATCAAAGGGAAAAAATAAGCTATTCTTTATTTGCTGACCCATGACTGGTTTTCTCCTATCAGCCAATTGAAAAAGAAGTGGGGGAGGGGCCTGTCAACAGAACACACAGTCAACCTCTCATCTTGTTGAGCTGTCGTAAAGACAGAAGGGAATCCTGTAGTCTATCTTCAGTAAATTTAGACATCGGATAGTCTATAGAAAATAAACAATGAAACTGCAGAAAAATTAAATTTTGCCAAATAGAAGGTAGCATGAAATGTTGAGTTCTCCGAGGTATCCTAGCACTGTCTAAGCATGCATGGCCTGGTGGTTGCCCTCCCAGAAGAGTAATTTTGTCTCTGACTACGACATTCCATAAAGCATGAGATAATCTTTGCCACTTGCTGTGTTTCTGATACCTTTATCCAACGCCTTCTAAACTCATCATAAAATGCTGTGGGGATTGTGAAGGCTAAAATGTTTAAAAGAAGCAATTATTCACAGAAACGCATAGCCAACCACCCCCTTACCTCTGGAATAAGCTGGAAAATGGCATTTGAGAAAAGAGTCCCAATAGCCAGCCCCACAAAATAAGTTAAAATCTTGGGGAAATAAGACTTCTTTATCAAGGGAGTTAAAATCAATCCCAGGAGAGATGCCAGATTGATAATTGTCACTGACAGGAATCCATAGCCCCAGACTATAAAAAAAAGGGGAAAAGAGTAAAAATTAGTTACAACCAAGGAGTCAAATGAACATTAACTGTACCACAGCACACTAGCCTTGAGACATCTTTTCTTTAAAGGCTTCAATGAATACCTTCTTTAAAACTAAAAATTCTCATTGAAATGTATACAGAAATTTGAGAACATTCATACAGTAGACTGAACATTCATAGAAATCATGTTTGTAGGGCCTGGGATCTAGCTTAGTTGGTATTAACATTTATTTATCATACAGGAGGCCCTGAGTCCAGGCCCCAGCATCTCATAAACTAAGTGTGGTGGTCCATGCCTGTAATCCAGGCACGTGGGAGGTAGAATAAGGAGGATCACTATTTCAAAGACATCTTCCTCTGCATTGCAAAGTTCAAGGATAGCCTGGGCTTTGTGAGATCATGTCTCCAAAGGAAAGGAAATAGGAAGCTGTGCTTGTAATTTAAGTGGACCTGTGCTACCATCATAAGATCAAGGAGTCTAGAGCTTGTAGGGACCTGGAGAATATCTGAAGGAGGACAAATGGCCTGCCCTGTACAGTGGAGAGGCTCCAGCAGCCTCACTTCATCTGTAGCTCAAGGCTGACTTTAAAACGTAGCCTTTTGCGACAGACCTTTAATCCCAGCAGCTGAAAGAGAGGGACCTCTGTGAATTCGAGGCCAGCCTGGTCTGCAAAGTGAATCCAGGACAAGACTCACTTCAGAAACGCAGGACAGCCAGGGTTCTGTTACACATGGAAAGCCTGTCTCAAAAAATATATAAATAAATAAATAAATAAATAAATAAATAAATAAATAAAAGTAGCCTTTTAAAAGAAGAGAAAAGCACTGTGAGATTCAAGGGAAGGGTGACGTGAGCTGCTTCCAAGGTGGGTTGAGATGATTTTGCCTCAAACTGACCATTATGCCAGCACGGGGTTTCTCATAAACATTTGTTTGAAGACCCCTGAGATCACTTTAAAAAAAAAATTCTTCTACTTTTAAAAAACAAAAAACTCCTCAGTTCTCCCCAGCTGGGCCTCCTGGAATCCGGAGTCAGCCGGTGCCTGAGAACATAGATAACAACCACGTGGGAGTGGAGGGAACAGCTGCATTGCACAACTCACCTTACCAGCCCCAAAGGAAACCTAGGTGATGCTGGCAACACATAGAGGTGGTTCATCTCTCACTCAGACACCCAACGGCAGCTCAGTAAATGTTGCTGTGGGGGAGGGAGGGCAATGACAAATGCTATATCCTAGTTTGATGCTTGACTAGATGTGCTCCTCATCATCTGGACTGTAGAGGCTTGGCTTACGAAGAGAGTGAAGTGTGCACACTGTCACAGTGCGGTCTGAGACGTACCATGACCGCTGCGACCAAGCTACACATGACATGGAACACTGTCTAGAAGATGAGAAAGCTGCTTCCGCATGGCCGTTTTTAAAACATCCACCAGAAAACTCACTTAAATGTTGAACCACTTCCTCCTTGGTCCTGTCAGAGCAGTACACAAGTAACACCCAGCGCACAGCAAGTATCTGTCATACCAGATACTATGCTAAGCCATCAATGTCTTGTATTCCATTGAACCCACAAAGCCTTGCAAGGAAGATACTACTACCTTCCTTGCACAGTTACGAAAGCCAGAACGTACAGAGTTCCCGTAAGCTCAAATCACACAGATAAAACTCTGAATTTGGGCTAAAAGCATTGCTGCTCTTGCAGAGGACCAGAGTTCAATTGCCAGCACCCACACAGGGGAATCCAACCTCCTCTTACGACCTCTGTGGGTACTCCATGCGTAGGGCTCATATTCAAACAGGCTCACACACTAAGACACACAGAAATAAATTTAAACTTTAATTTTTAAATATAAACATGGGGGAATAAAAAGAGCTGGAGCGATAGATGGCACTTAAAAAGCACTCGCTGTCCCTGTGGAGGACCCTGGTTGGGTTGTCAGCACCCACACGGGGGCTCACACTGTCTGTGACTCAGTCTCGGGGCCTCCGGTATCCTTTCCTGACTTCTAGGGTACCAGGCATGTACATAGTTCACATACATACATACATACATACATACATACATACAGGCACAGTTTTTACAAAAGTAAAATAGATAACATTGTTCCCGGATATACCACACCTTCAACATAAGTTGTTTATTATTATTTCCAAAATGCTGAATAAACAGACTTCTTCCTTCCTTTAGCTCACTGCATAGCAGTGAGCAGAACGGGCTTAGGGTTAAAAAGCCCTGGGCTCTTCGTCCCCCTTAGGCAATGCATCTAATGGAAACTGCTTTGAGGGAGTAGGTATCAGATAGATCCCTGGTAGACAGATGGACAGAAGGATGCATAGAGAAAAGAAGTTCTAGATAGAATTATGTGCTTTTCACTTAAATACTTAAGATGGCCAACTTCATGATTCTTCTCCATCTCCAAGACAAAGACTTGGTGGGCTCTACTCACCCACATACCAGAAGAAACCATTCATTGGGACTTTAAACATTGGAATTAGGGAACATCCTGTGACAAGAACTAATTAGCCTCCCCTTTTCTAAACTGTCCTATGCCTAGAGATAGCTGAATCCAATCAATTCTGAGGGACAAAGGGACACCACTCTACCCACAAACAGGAAAGTTTTGGTTCTGCCAAACTAACTTGAATTCTAGATCCCCTCCCCACTAGTTGCATCTGTCTCTTTGCATGCTACACGCGTGAGTACGTGCATGTATGTGTGTGTGTGTGTGTGTGTGTACACTTGAGCATGTGAGCTAGTCCACATGTGTGTGTATGTGGATATATGTGTGCACACAGGTATGTATGTGTGTATGCGCGCGCGCATGTGTGTGTGATGCTTTCAATAAAACATGGCCAAGTGTTGAGATCCTGCTTTTCTTGCCTTCTTATTCTTTCAATAAGCAGAGAAAAAGAATGTGCTCCTGCCATCCTAGGTGAAGTCACTCCAAAGCATCAGTTTCATCTCTCTGGAGCTTACAGCTCCATCATTGGTTGTATTATGTTAGACAGTATGATCTTCAAGGCTTCTTTGAGTAGAGTCTATGATGCTTACATCTTATTTGAATTAAGTAGTACTGTATAAACTCACCCAAAAATGATGCAATTTTGGACCTTTCAGTTTTCTACTAAGATATGATTAATTTCTCTCCCAAAGAAGCAAATTTATCATTCATTTTTACTGCATATATTATTGTGGTTTTATAAGGCAAATGAAAGACAATTTCAAAAAAATAACAAAATGTAACATCTCTGAGACTACTTTATCGTCCCACTAAAATGTCAATATAAACATATTCAGAGCTTTTTGTGTCATGGCTCCTTTGAATTGGATTTATTTTGGGTTTTTTTTTTTTTTTTTTTTTTTAGTCTCTTGGATGACTTTAGATTCAAGCAGTGAACTTGCACAAGCAGTGAGAAGTTAAAGTCAGAATCTACTACATTTCGTTATTTTTAATTTCCTTGTGAGAAAGTAACATTACAGAAGGGAAGACCCTGAACCTATGGCCATGTATACAAGATGCTGAGGGCAGATCTGTAGCTATGAATGCTTGCTGCACAGCCACAAAGATCTTAGTTCAAGTCTAGCACCCATATCAAAAGCTTGTGTGTCCACTCATGCCTATAACACTAGTGTTTCAAGGGACAGGAGAACGGCTGGGACTTGATGGCCACCAACCTAAGCTCAGAGTCAGTGAGAGCCCCTGTCTCAAGCGAATGGAGAGCGATAGATCAGGACCACTGACATCATCCTCTGACCCCCAAATGCACACAAGGGCATTCTGCTCCATACATATTTATATTCTCCACACATACACCCAGACATACATAGACACATGTACACACACAAAAAGATCAAAGACACAATCCTCTCAAGCTGTACCATGCAGTGTTCCAGTCACACACATTGGCTCATTCTGATGCCACCCACAATTCTCCAGTAAAGGAGCTGTGATTACACCCTCCTTACAGACGAAGTGACTCAGGCAGAAAGATGCTGAGCAACTGCTCAAGACCGCACATCTGCACTAAAATAAAACTAGGAAGTATCGCATCAAATGACAATCCATTGCCAAACTAAACAAATTAACAGAGACAAACACTCCACTCTCTTTGTTGGATTTTCTGTCCAAGTATTTGATACCTTTCTGATCTCGAAACTGAGAATGGTTGACTTTTCTACTTCATGGCTTTGCAGTGTTGACCCTAGAGTTCCCTCTCACTTCCTGCTTCCTACTTCCTGTTCTTGTCTCCTGGCTTCACCTGACATAAAATAACCTGAACAGCTAGAGTTAGAAAACACCTATCTCTATCTATCTATCTATCTATCTATCTATCCATCTATCTATCATAGCTCTATCTCATCTAGCTAGCTAGCTATCATCTATCTATCATCATCTGTCATCTATTTATCATCTCTCTATAATGTATTATCTATCATCTATCTACCATCTGTCTACCTATCATCTCACTTGTTCGCTTGCTCTCTCACACTCCCATTCTTGCACCGACTCTTCCTCTGTAGCCCAGACTGATCTTTAACTCACGGTGATCCTCCTGGCTCAGGCTCTGAAGTGCTAGGATTACAGGCCTAAGCCACCTCATCCAGATTTAGAAATACTTTTAAATCTCAGTAACTTTCCTTTACTGGAGTCACTTCCTGAAACCACGGGCCTTAGGCAATACTGAAGTCAATGTTGTTCTAGGTACTTTATGAGTGTTGTCATTTAATACGGGTAACAGCACTGTGAGAAAGGAACTAGATTGGATGAGGAAACTGAGGTAAAAAGGGGGGTCAAAACATGTTTCCAGGATGGCCATAAAATCATGGAGTTGGACTGAGAAGTCTGTACCTTTATGGGTCTGTATTGCTAGTAATGATAGTATATTGAAATTTTCATTGCATTTATTTTCAAATGTAAAGCATAAAGTATCACAATGTAAAAGTCATAAGGAAATGCAAGCATACTCTAGCAAGCCTTTGTAATTCTTGTATCTCCTTTCATATGCAAATGTTAAAGGTTAGAAACTCCATGCTTTAAGGATTCAGCCAGAAGTACGGTAGTTTCCTATGCCTTCCATCGCAGCTGCAGACAAACTGACAAGTTTTGAAATAACAGGACAGGCAAAAGGTGATGGCGACTGACTCATCAACTAAGCCAAATAGTTCATAAATAACCTGGTATGCACATCATGTGCCTTAAAATCAAGAAATGGTTGCATCTTGACACATAAAATGACGTTTATGACATGAAGGTAGACAGCAAGGGCCCAGATTCTCAACCTGTGGGTCGAAACTCCCTTATGGGTCATATATCGGATATCCTACGTATCAGATATTTCCATTATGATTCATAACAGTAGCAAAATTATAGGCATGAAGTAGTAATGAAATAATTTTATGGCTGGGGTCACTACAACATGAAGAACTGGATTAAAGGGTGACAGCATTAGGAAATGCAAGGACCACCGCTCTTACAGGAACAAAGAAGACTGAGGGATAAGAAGGAAACGGGGAAGGGAGGGAGGCTTGGGGTAAATATAGTCAACGAATTACTGTGTATTTGCATGAAAATTCCATATGTAACAGAACACAATGTTTGATGAATCTATACAATAAAAACTAAATAAGTAAGAAGAGAAGACTGGGTTGTGGAATGTTAACCCGTACTAAGGGCAATCTTTATCCTACAAGCAGAAGCGCGTTGCACACAAAGCTTGCAAGAGTTCCCAATACTCTTATCTAAAAACTTGCTGAATCTTATTTTATCAGGAGGTTTCTCACAACTTAATTAAAAACAATAAATGAGGAAAGGGTACACGTGAGCTTTATCTCCTGCTGCCTCTCAGACTTTCCTATGGGCTGAGAAAGCGGCTTCCGGATACCTTCGGAAAGACTGGGCTTTGCGTTGTGCTTCTGCAGATCCTCGCAGGGATGGAAGTTCAGCTGCTGTAAGATCGCGGGGCAGATGGTAGAGAAGTTCGAGCTGGTTATCTGCGTGACGTTTGAGAAACCATGAAGTGAAAAGATGTCTTCTGCTGACAAACACTGAAACAGAGCAAACAAAGGCACGCAGGTAGTAATGCAGTCAGCACATGTGGGTGAACACTAAACCTGAGACTTACAGTCTAAGGAGGCATACTGTATTACGTCCAGGTACACAGAGCTGCGTCTGAACCAGAGCCCACTACAGAAATGAATGGACCAGTTCGCTCCTCTTTAAATCCAGAAAGAAACAAACAAAATAGCAATAGAATTATTTAATCTACAGCCTACCTAATGTAAACAAAATGAGATTAAAAATCGGTTTAGAAGCTGAGAAAGACTTGAAAAATAATAAGAGTTTGGCTGTGGCTATAACTCCAGGTAGTGGAAAGGGCTTACCTAGCATACACAAAGTCTGGGTACCCTAGAACTACAAAACACGAAGTGAGGAAAAGCACACTGTAGCATTTGAACACAGGGCTCTGAGATGATTTTTTCTTATTGTCTCAATTTACCCTTTTAGCTATTTAAATGGATATTCTGTGGGTGCTTTCAGAGTAGCTTTCTAGCATTCTTTGTTGATGGCTACTTGGTTCCTTACAGTTTCATAGTTTAAAAATATATCCATCAATATAGCAATAATAGTTCTAATATGCAAAATTTGTTTTAAATTATATCTTATCACAAACTATTGTTTACTAAATTATTCTAAATGTTGATGATTAGGGTTTCTATATTATAGTTTTACAGATAGTGCTGGGCCACTTAAAAATTCATTAACTTTTTAATGAGGCAAAGATTCTGCATTGGAAAAAGAAATCTCTGCGAAAACAATTTTTTAAAGGGTCATTTACTCTCAAGTGCACTTTCACTGTAAAATGGATGAAACATTAATAAATTAGTGTCATACAAATTAGAAACTGTGAGAAATACCCATTCCCTCAAACAGAAGCATGTCTTTAGTAAAAATCAACTGAGAGATGTTTTTGTCTATGTCAGTCACTACTTAACCCCACTAAAACCTTAGCTTTGCACCAGAAAATGAACTGTGTTCCTCAAAATTCACGTCAGACCCTAGTCCACAGTGTGTGACATATGGGGACAGTCTCCTGTAAATAGTTAGCATTAGAAGAGGCTGTGGAAGAAGGACCCTGGTCCACTGGATGAAGGGACAGTAGAGAGGGCACAGTCAGAAGGACCTCATCTACAACCCACCGAGCAGCCTGCAACGGAAAGCTATGTCCTAGCACTTTGATCTTGGACTTTCAGTCTCTTACAATACTTCTTACAATAAAAACGATGACATTAAAAATTCTAAACATTAATGCAGGAAACCAGGGCTATTGTCAAAGAAAAAAATAAAAAGACATCAAATATATCAAACTGCATGCAATTGTCAGAAACTAAGATGGCAATTACTTTATAGAAAATGCGTGCTCAGAGTTTTTTCCTTTTTGAAAGATTTTTTTTTCTTCCCTTTAATTTTTGAGATTTTAATATTATATTTTTCTCATCGCTTTCCTCCCTCCAAATTCTCTCATAAACTCTTCCTCGCTCTCTTTCAAAGTCCTAGTCTCTCTCTTCACACACACACACACACACATAGTGGTAAGTATATAATATTTAAGAATATAATAAATATGTATAAGCTATGTCTTATTCATCCCATCCTCCTCTAGTGTACGATAACAGCTGTGGACTGGCCACCAAACAACCAACACTGCTCTACTAATAAGGCATCCCTATAGCTCCAAGTGTGGGGCACTAGAGCAATAGATGAAGAAAACAGCTGGATAGCCAATCAGGGAAAGATAAGAAAGCACAGCTCATTCGTAACCAGGAGGATGCCTGACTCAGCAACTAGAGAGTATACTTGGAGCAGTCATGATTCCAGGAATTAACAGGTATGCTGGCACAAAGACAGAATGGTACTGGTTCCTGACAAGGAACTCTTAACCGCATGGACTTCAAGTTCCTCCAACTAAAATAAATAATGTTCAATGATTTCTCCGAATTCAAGCCCTAAGTCATTCAAGATGAGATAACTCTAAAGGAGTTCTTTTTGGATCCAAATTGTAGATCAGAAAGTCAACTTGCTAAGCCATAGTCAGTATTTCTCAATGAAGTAGTAGTTTAAATGCCATGATATTTAAAGATATCCTGATTGCCCGTTGTGCATTATTAAAAATCCTATCAGTCCAGTTAAATGAGTATAGAATGAATGAGAGAACTTAGAATTGTCATGATCAATCAGTTTTTATCTAGAATTTTTGCTGGCCAGGTGGACAGAAATCACAGTACTTGACTACCAACTGCCCAGTAGGCACCCAGATGCAGGGAGGTGGCAAAACTCAAGGCTCTGGTTGCTTTTTCTTTTTTTTTTTTTTTTAAGATGATGAGAACAGACTGTCAAAACAGAATCAATGCAGACCTGATAGGCTTAAAATCTAAAATTGCTTATCCGCTAAGAAGTGGAATGTAAATAAATTTGGACAATGGCCTATTTTCATCTGTCTCAATCTTGATTTACTAAATTAAACCCAACACTAGAGAAGGCAATATCTATGAGAAGGCAGAGTCTCCACTGCAGGGGCAAACAGGATACGAGCCCAGCGCCTCTGTGGAAAGGGCTCAAAACTGGCTGGACCAGTGACACTACTAAGGAAGTCTGACGCCTCTAGGGTGCATCCCTTCACCTTCTGGGAATTCCTGGGTCACAAGAGGTCCTGAGAAAGCAACTCAGGGGTGATAGAACAAAACGGTATCACCTTGAGATGCACCCAACTTCCCCCAGACTGTCATAATCATCCACTAACAAACAGCTAGCTTTGCTTTTTATTTTTTTACATGATATTACTATTCTCTAGAGTTCCAGCCAGACTTTGTAGTGCCTTCTGAGTTCTGTGCCCCTGGGGACTAATTAGTCTGCAGACACTCTGACATCAGTGGTTGCTATTTGCTCATCTCAGCCTCAGTGATCTGATCTGGAACATGCATGTACACAGACACCAAAGAAAGCTACTCACAGTGGTAAAGGGGGCTTAGATCACATTACACACAAAGCCCCCAAATTATACTCAAAATGGTTCTAGCAAATAGCTTCAAGCATTCCTGCTTCTGTGTCTGCTACTCTTCCCTCATCAGAGCTTAACTCTCCTTACTTCACCTCCAGAAGCCCTTAAGGAATGGAAGGAGAGGGCGGGAGAAAGATTACAAGCTCCTCCCTTTGCATTTTCAACAAATAAAATCTGTATAGTAAAGTACTACTATAATAATTTGTCTTCTTATAATGAATCCAAGGAGTACGGCAAGACTTGAAGGACTCGGCTTCCAAAACTCACAAAGACTCTTCTTGGCTAAATTTTAGTCTGAGCGTGGGCCTCAACCTTGACGCTTCTTGTTAGAGGGTCAGCATCTTCATAAGCTAGCGAAGATCTCGTAGTTATTTAGAAAGAATCCTCCCACTCTTAATGGCCAATTGCTTTCAAGTCAAACTCTTCCTCTCCGACACTTAGTACCTGTCACATTGACCTGCCTTTGAGGTGGATTCTGTCCTTTAATCAAAATACTTCCTGTATTTATGTTTCCTCTTGGTAAAGTTCTACCCACAGGTGCTTCCCAGCCCAGCTCCTTGGCTGCTTCAAGCTGTTTGGAGAGACTCCAGTTCTATGCTTTTCCCTGTAATCGGTAATTTTGAATTGGACTTCACTGGCCACTGGTTACAGTGGGCATATCAGGAGGATCTTTTCAGGCAAGATGAATATTTGAATCAATGATCTCAGTAAAGATGAGAGAACATTAACTAATTTATGGAAGGCTTGACCAGAGCAAAGGGCAGATAAACGGGGACTTTTCCTACCTCACTGTCTGGAGACCATATTCTTTTCTCTGGGCCCCAGTCTGGAATTTACATCATCAACTCCCAGACTCTCGGTTCTTTACACTCAATTACAACAATGAGATCTCTAGTTTACAGATGATAGATCTTGGAACTTGTCTTCCTAATGGTCTTCTTCCCCACTGCCTTCTCCCTCTCTCTCCCTCTATCCCTCTCCCTCTATCCCTCTCCCTCCCTTACTCCCTCCATCCATGCTCTGTTTCTCTCTCAAAGGATTTAAGAAGATGTGGATTAACAAAGATCGGGCCATCTTTTGAACTTACTGATTCCATTTCTCTGGAAAACCCTGGTCAATGCACCTGACTGAAATGTGCAGGTCAATGGCATGGCTGTCATGCTTGATCATTGTTAAAGAAAACCACAGTATGACAGCACTCAAAGTGGTAAAAAATTCTTACACTGTCATAACTGTGGTCTTCTTTAACAGTAATCGAGTATGACAGCCACGTCATTATAGTACACATTGCATTGATTGTTTCCTTCTTTACACAGATATTTATTGAAACCAAAAATCTGACAAGAATATTGATGAGAGAAGTGGAAGTTAGAAGAAGCTAGAAGCAGGGAAGAAATAGAACAGAAACAATAAGTCATAGCACCCCCTTCCATCAAGAAACCTCAACAATTGTGACGGTGGGGGGAGGGGAGACCCACATGCACCAAGAACTGTAAAAGCAGAGTGAGAAATGATAAACTCCTATGAGATATGATAACTAACAAAGAAGTCTTATGTGAGGGAGAAGTTGTATGCAGAAGAAATAAATCATAAGAAACAACTGAGACTAAAACTCCAGGCAGATGGAAAGAGGGTGTTGGTCCTGGTATGGCATTCGGCAGCAGGGTGGCCGGTTGCATTTCAGGCATCTGAATTCCTAATGCCTGCAGGACACCAGATGGTGATGAGTGACGAGCTTCCTTGAGAAGCACAGAAGACAAAGATAAGGCTGTGTCTGTCTTCTGTGGCGCAGTGATAGTGGGGTGGGTGTGGGGGAGGTGGTCCGGAGAAAGCACACTTTAGAAGAGAGCACGTGCCTAGAGAATACAGAGCACACTTGTAGAAAAGCAGGGAAGAGATCCAGCAATGGTGACAGCTATGTGTCATCCCAGCACCAGCCTGGGCTAAGGGCTGGGACCGTCTCAAACAAAACAAAACCAAGAGGTGAGA